TTGATCTAGAGATATCAAAAGCCTGAATCATTAAAAATGGTGGTGGGGGGGGGGGGGATGAGAAAAGGAGAGAAAGAAGGAGGGGAAGGAATCAGTGAGAAATTATTAAGGAAGTGCATGACGAAGAGGAGAGAGACACGAAAATAACTCACCTGTTTTCATGTAATGCTTATGATAATGATAATGTTGATAACAATAATAATATTCGTAATAATAGTATTCGTAGTAGTTGTACTAGAAACGGTAATTATAATAGTTGTAGAGTACTTGTAATATTCAAAGTATTTGTAGTTGTAGTAGGAGAAGTAATACTAGCAGCAGCAGCAGTAGTAGTAGTAGTAGTAATAGTAGCACTAGTAGCACTATACTAGTACCTGATTATAATGATAACAACAGCAACAACAACCATAATGATAATGATAATAATGGTAATAATAATAATGATAGTGATGATAAAGAAATAATTATTACTACTATTATTATTGCTATTATCATTATTGCTTTTGCTGATCCTTATTATTATAATTTTTAATCATTATGATTATTGTTATTGTTATTATTATTTTTGTTATTATTATCATCATTACTATTATTACTATTAATATCATTATTGCTGTTATGATTATTATTGTTGTTGTTATCATCATTCTTATCATCATAGATATTATTGTTACTGCTATCATTGTTATTGTTATTATCATTCTTGCAATTACTATGATCATTATCATTATCATTATCATTATTACTATTATTATTATTATTATTATTATTATTATTATCAATATCATCATTATCATTACCATCATTATCATAATTATTATTATTTCTATCAATATTGGAATTATCATTCTTGCTGCTATCATTATCATTTTCTTTATGTATATTGTTATAATTAGAATTATCTTTGTTATTATTATTATCATTACCGTTTTGTTATTGTTATCATTATTACTATCATCATCATTACAATCACAATTATTTATATCATTATTATCATTTTCATTATTATCATTATTTTAATTATCATCAATATTATCATTATTATTGATATTAACTACTATTTTCATTATTAGTGCTATTGCTATTATCAGTAATATTCTCTTTATTATTATCATATTATCATCATTATTATCATTATCAATATAATCATTTTTATAATCATCATAGTCATCATCATCATCATCATCTCCATCTCAAAATAGTCACAATCATGCTCATAACAAGGGTAGTATAGACAAGCACTTTATGTAAATAATAACACGTTCTTATTCAATAGAAAGACGACCGCCGCCCCACCCCCATCCCCCTATCTGCCACCCCCTCACTTATCCCCTGCAAAATTAGGGGAAAGATAAGCTTATCTGGGGGAAAAATGGAGAGGTCTTTGTCACTCATTATCATGCAAATTACGAAGACTTTGTGGCCGTCGGAGAGAAAATTAGGTACGTCTTATTCTCGTCTTCGGAAGGAAAGATGAGATGTTTTCGTTGTTCTCTTCTGAGAGAATTTTTTTGGAATCTATGTTCGTCTTTCACTGGAAAGAGAAATTGAAACGTTACCTTAATTTTTTAAAAAATAGAAAAGGGATTTATATCCATCTGTACGTCATACACAACAATATATACGAAAAGGCCTTAATTCGCTATCAGCAATGTTTAAAAGTGCAAAGAATATATCCTTTCACAATGATACACAAAGCGAAGGGATTTGCGAGCAGCAATCGAATCATATATACATACATATATATATATATATATATATATATATATATATATATATATATATATATATATATATATATATATATATATATATATATATATATATATATATATATATATATATATATATATATATATATATATAATATATATAATATATATATATATATATATATATATATAATATATATATATATATATATATATATATATATATATATATATATATATATATATATATATATATATATATATATATATATATATATATATATATATATATATATATATATATATATATAATATATATAATATATATATATATATATATATATATATATATATATATATATATATATATATATATATATATATATATAATATATATATATATATATATATATATATATATATATATATATATATATATATATATATATATATATATATATATATATATATATATATATATATATATATATATATATATATATATATATATATATATATATATATATATATATATATATATATATATATATATATATATATATATATATATATATATATATATATATATATATATATATATATATATATATATATATATATATATATATAATATATATATATATATATATATATATATATATATATATATATATATATATATATATATATATATATATATATATATATATATATATATATATATAATTGCATCTTAAGAATTGTTTAGTTTACTTACCACCTTACTGTCAATTGAACAAAGAGGTCTACTGCCAAAGTTAGAATTTCAATTTTTTTCACTTATTATTATTTTTTTTTCATCGATTTGTTTTTTAATAACCTATATCTATCTACTAATATTTTATGTTTCTATGATAGCTTTTTTTTTAGTTCTTTTTTAATCTCTTTAGCTTCTTATCCCTTCCTGTTGGTATGATCGCCCTTTCCAGCTGGGAATGGTAATGAAAATAAATAATGATTAAATAATAAAACTATTGATGATAATGATAATGATAACAATGGTGATGTTAATAATAATATTTATGGTAATAATAATGAAAATCATGACAATAATATAATATTTATAATATGATAATAACGATAATGATAAAAAATATTGATAATCATCTTCATAATAATAATGGTTATAATATTAATGAAAATAGTGGTAATAATAATAAAAATAATAGAAATAATAATATTTAGAATTATAATAATAAAAAAACACCACCACCAGTAACAATGATAATATAATAATAATGATAACAATGATCATACCAATGATAATAATAATGATACTAAAAGCACTGATATGATGATGATAATAATAATAATGATAACATTGATTATAATAAAAATAATAAAGACAAGAATAAAATAAATGATTATAACAGTAGTAAAGATAAAAATAATATTATAATCGCATTGACAATTTCAATATTGATGATAATAGTAATGACAGTATCCTGTTAAAATGACAATGATAATGGTAATACTAACGGAAGTGATAATCCTGACCACCTTACCGTGCTCCAGGTTGAATTTTAGCTCTGTTATATTTCTCAGTAACAGGAACATAAAGAAACAGAATAATCATAGCTGTTAAGAATTCCTTGGTCGTATAAGGAATATCCTCATTAATGTTGACAATAGTTGAGCAATACTATTTTAAAAATCTTATGAGCATTCCTTGGTCGTATAGGGAATATCCTAATTATGTTGACAATAATTGCGTAATATTAACCTTTTAAAAAATTTACGCCACCATAATTTTAACAATAATGATTATAATCGTGTTTTCCTCTCCTCAGTTCACCAAGTCTTTCCCCTGCTCGCAAAAGGTTTCCGCCCCGCCATGCATAACATCTGGTCACCTTCTGTCTTCCTCTCCTCTCCCTTTTCCCCTTCTCCCCTCTCCCTATCCTCCATCTCTTTTTTAACTCCTCCCCCTCCTTATCCTCTGCTCATGTTTCTTTGTAAATATAATCATTACAAAATCACAATCTCAGGCTGGATGACATGGAGGAAAAGATCATGTCATTTTAGCGTAACAGCAAGGATTTATCGCTGATAAATCCTTGCTGTTATGAAGGCCAAGGAGCGGAGAACTCACTGTTAGGGCGCGGGCTGGACGCTTTTGGTTCTTAAAGAAATAATGAATTCGGTATGAATTGGGTATGCCGGGTAACGAGTTTTATCAATACCGGCAGAGCCATTGGTCTTTATGGAATTCTAGATACAATGAAAGGCTCTTGTAACATGCTGTTCTGTCTGACACGCGACAATACCGAACAACTAAGTGAAACAGCCCCAGTGAATTGGCCGCGGGAGCGCTGTTACTGAGCTGCGTTCAGAGGATCAGCTGCCATTAGCGTGGCTCCGGTGCTCGATCACACACACACAAACACACACACACAGGAGGAGGAGGGGAGTGAGAGGCGGGAATTCCCTCACCTTGTCGCTGCGGTTTCTGCCAAGGGTTTGGCATCTTTGTTCGTTAACGGTATTTCTCCTATGAATTGTGGCGTATGTGTTAGCATTTCGTATTGGCTGTAGTTACGAACGCGGACGCGCGCGCACACAGGGAGAGCGGATCAAAAACACGATAAAAACACACACACATACATACATATATACGCACACACATACACACACACATATATATATATATATATATATATATATATATATATATATATATATATATATATATGTATATATATATATATATATATATATATATATATATATATATATATATATATATATATATATATATATATATATATATATATATATATATATATATATATATATATATATATATATATATATATATATACAATCACAAGCGGCCGCACCCCCACTGTTTCCGGAGAAATGAAAATATAAGTTTAATCAAAAATAAGAATATCTTTGACTGCAATACCTTTGGAACCATTTATCTCGATGATTGTGGCAATTCTGCTTCTGACGCGCTCTACTTCTAACGACGTTGAACTGCAGCAATTGAAAATCGATGACCTGCAGCTTGAGATTGAGCAGAGCCGCCCCCTGCTGGGTCTGTTCCAGGGCGGCCTCCCCGAGGACGCGCCTTTCGGAGCCACGGCTTCGTGGTATGTGCCTCGCCTGCTGAGGCTGCGGTCCCTCGGGGCCTGCAACGGGGACAGGGATCGCGCCTTCAGGAGACCCTGCTGTAGGTGGAGGAGGCGCGTCGATCCAAGGTCCTGTGCGGGCTGGCGGTCCTCGCGATGGCCGGCCTGGCGCTGCTCATCCGGTCGGATTCTGGGCGGTCGGGTTTCCAGAGACAGCAGGAGGAGCCCGCTGAGCAGGAGGAGCCCGCTGAGCAGGAGGAGCCCGCTGAGCAGGAGGAGCCCGCTGAGCAGGAGGATGAGCCAGCTGCTGCAGGAGGAGCCCGCTGAGCAGGGGGAGCCAGCCAGGAGGAGCCCGCTGGAGCCAGCTGAGCAGGGGGAGCCAGCTGAGCAGGAGGAGCCCGCTGAGCAGGGAGAAGCTGAGCAGGGGAGCCCGCTGAGCAGGAGGAGCCCGCTGAGCAGGGGGAGCCAGCTGAGCAGGGGGAGCCTGCTGAGCAGGAGGAGCCCGCTGAGCAGGAGGAGCCAGCTGAGCAGGGGAAGCCCACTGAGCAGGGGAAACCCGCTGAGCAGGGGAAGCCCGCTGAGCAGGGGAAGCCCGTTGAGCAGGGATAGCCTGCTGAGCAGGGGGAGCCTGCTGAGCAGGAGCCCGCTGAGCAGGAGGAGCCCGCTCGTTGAGCAGGAAGCCCGCTGAGCAGGAGGAGCCAGCTGTGCCAGCCAGGGAAGCCAGCTGAGCAGGAGGAGCCCGCTGAGCAGGAGGAGAACTCTGAGGAGGAGGAAGAGTCAT